CAACCAGAATTATTAAAATGCTATACATCAGAGCTGCAGTAGGATAACAGTAAGTACACAATGGAAGCAGACTGTTTGCAGGAAAAGAGTCCAAACAGCATGGGAAAGCCTGTAAAATTAGAAGGAAAAGATAACACAATCAATATCACCATGTCTTTAGTCCTTACCCACACAGGCCTGCAGGTTACACCAGGCTGGTGTAACCATTACAGGCACCTTAATTATAACTTATCTGGAGGTTGAACAGGGTATCTTGGTCTGCCATCCACATAATTGTGGTTGAGGAAGTTATTTGTTGTTTGCGTTCACCGGCTCTAAACCACGGTGGAAAGAAATGGTTGTTCGTCAATTTCTGGACTTTGGCTTAGTTCCAGGACCTAAGATTTGTATGTGCATCCGTTTTACAGGTCTTGCTTATCTGTATGCAGACTGTTGGTTCCTTGCCTCTCAGGCAGAAGCACTCAGACTCTGAAGGAAGCTCGATGGAGATGGAGAGATAACATCCAGACAGACCTGCAAACACTTGGTGTCACCAACTGTAAAGAGAAGGCCAACCAGAGAGATGAGGCGGGTGATATCTGAAGCAATGAACCTCAAGGGCTCGGAATGCTGAAGAAGAAGAAGAAGAAGATGGCATAGTAAGCCTTTAGATATCAGCCCAGATGGAGCAAACTGATCAGTGGATGGCACCATCATCTTACCCTGATGACAGACTCACTATCCAGACCCAGACTGGTCATGTGTCTGAGAATCTGCTGACCCAGCTCCGTGTCTAAGGAGACAGTCGTCTCGTCATCCCCGACATGCTCCTCCAGCAGCAGGTTGTCGTTGTCAGTCTCGTCCAGCCCTGCAAGCATCCAGGGGTGCCGGACAATTTGGGAGACTGTGTACCGCTTGGCCGAGTCCACCACCAACATGTTGCTAATGAGGTTTTCACAGTCTGGAAAGAGATGCATTGAGTGATGTATGTAAATCTGGAAAGAGATGCATTGAGTGATGTATGTAAATCTGGAAAGAGATGCATTGAGTAATGTAAATCTGGAAAGAGATGCATTGAGTGGTGTATGTAAGTCTGGAAAGAGATGCATTGAGTGGTGTATGTAAGTCTGGAAATAGATGCACTGAGAGATATATGTAAATCTGGAAAGAGATGCACTGAGTAATGTATGTAAATCTGGAAAGAGAAAAGAGATGCATTGAGTGATGTATGTAAGTCTGGTAAGGAATGCACTGAGAGATATATGTAAACCTGGAAAGAGATGCACTGAGTAATGTATGTAAATTTGGAAAGAGATAAGAGATGCATTGAGTGATGTATGTAAGTCTGGAAAGAGATGCATTGAGTGATGTATGTAAATCTGGAAAGAGATGCATTGAGTGATGTATGTAAGTCTGGAAATAGATGCATTGAGTGATGTATGTAAGTCTGGAAAGAGATGCATTGAGTGATGTATGTAAGTCTGAAAAGAGATGCATTGAGTGATGTATGTAAGTCTGGAAAGAGATGCACTGAGTGAGGTATGTAAGTCTGGAAAGAGATGCACTGAGTGAGGTATGTAAGTCTGGAAAGAGATGCACTGAGTGAGGTATGTAAGTCTGGAAAGAGATGCACTGAGTGATGTATGTTAGTCTGGAAAGAGATGCACTGAGTGAGGTATGTAAGTCTGGAAAGAGATGCACTGAGTGAGGTATGTAAGTCTGGAAAGAGATGCACTGAGTGATGTATGTAAGTCTGGAAAGAGATGCATTGAGTGATGTATGTAAGTCTGGAAATAGATGCATTGAGTGATGTATCTAAGTCTGGAAAGAGATGCATTGAGTGATGTATGTAAGTCTGGAAAGAGATGCACTGAGTGAGGTATGTAAGTCTGGAAAGAGATGCACTGAGTGATGTATGTAAGTCTGGAAAGAGATGCATTGAGTGATGTATGTAAGTCTGGAAAGAGATGCACTGAGTGAGGTATGTAAGTCTGGAAAGAGATGCATTGAGTGATGTATGTAAGTCTGGAAAGAGATGCATTGAGTGATGTATGTAAGTCTGGAAAGAGATGCATTGAGTGATGTATGTAAGTCTGGAAAGAGATGCATTGAGTGAGGTATGTAAGTCTGGAAAGAGATGCACTGAGTGAGGTATGTAAGTCTGGAAAGAGATGCATTGAGTGATGTATGTAAGTCTGGAAAGAGATGCATTGAGTGATGTATGTAAGTCTGGAAAGAGATGCATTGAGTGATGTATGTAAGTCTGGAAAGAGATGCATTGAGTGATGTATGTAAGTCTGGAAAGAGATGCATTGAGTGATGTATGTAAGTCTGGAAAGAGATGCACTGAGTGATGTATGTAAGTCTGGAAAGAGATGCATTGAGTGATGTATGTAAGTCTGGAAAGAGATGCACTGAGTGAGGTATGTAAGTCTGGAAAGAGATGCATTGAGTGATGTATGTAAGTTTGGAAAGAGATGCACTGAGTGAGGTATGTAAGTCTGGAAAGAGATGCACTGAGTGAGGTATGTAAGTCTGGAAAGAGATGCATTGAGTGATGTATGTAAGTCTGGAAAGAGATGCACTGAGTGATGTATGTAAGTCTGGAAAGAGATGCATTGAGTGATGTATGTAAGTCTGGAAAGAGATGCACTGAGTGAGGTATGTAAGTCTGGAAAGAGATGCATTGAGTGATGTATGTAAGTCTGGAAAGAGATGCACTGAGTGAGGTATGTAAGTCTGGAAAGAGATGCACTGAGTGAGGTATGTAAGTCTGGAAAGAGATGCATTGAGTGATGTATGTAAGTCTGGAAAGAGATGCATTGAGTGATGTATGTAAGTCTGGAAAGAGATGCATTGAGTGGTGTATGTAAGTCTGGAGAGAGATGCATTGAGTAATGTATGTAAGTCACTGAGAATGTTAGAGCAACTGATCCTTTTACCACCTGAGGTTCCCCATGTGGGTTCTGGGGCCACATTGTGGGGGAAAACTAAAACAGACTGGGTCCCTAACAAGCACGTCCCAGGAGTCAACTAAATGGGGGCATCCTTTAAAGTCAGAGTGCATCTGCATGAGAGGCAAGGAACCAAGAAGCTGCACACAAACAAGACAGATAAGATAAGTAAATGGGTGTACACACAACACTGAGGTTCCAGAACAAGAATAAAGGAAAGAAAGACACAGAACTTTCCACCATGGTTTACAGCTGGTGAATGTAAAGAAGAGAGAGAAAAAGAGATCTTAGGTTCCCCATGTAGGAAAGGGGGGGAGTAGACCTTCTGCCCATCCGACAAGCATGTTCTAAAAGTTTACTAATTAAGGATGTTCCATTCGAAATCACAGTGCATATATGTCTGAGAGATGTGAAACCAACAGTGTGTTACAAATAAGCCAGATCTGTAAAACAGATGTACAGCAAAAACTCAAGTTCAGAAACAAGACTAAAATCCAGAAGTGGATGAATAACCAGCACTTTCCACAGAAAGTAATAACAAATAGTAATAACAAGGTTTCTCTTAAAGGTATCCCACTCTAAGATGCACAACATATATGTGGGCAGTAATGTAGATAAAGATGGGGGAATTGACAATGATATTAAAAATATGCATACAAAAGGCAAGAGGAGCTTTCATAGCACTAGGAAATTTGTAGAAGTCAAAAGAAAATAAAACTAATACTCTACTGAAAATTGTTAATTCCAGAGTCAAATCAGTACTTTTGTATGGGGGCAGAAACACGGAGAACAACCAAAACAATTACTAATAAACTACAAACGTTGATTAACTGGTTCCTGCCCAAAACAGAGGAAATTAAATGCTATGACAGAGTCCCTCTTGTCGAGCTTTGGAAGAGAATTATACAAGTTCCAGCTAACCTAGAGATGAAGAAAAGATGCTGACGCTGGATAGGACACAAGATGAGAAAACCAGAGAGCAATTAACTAGAATGTCTCTGCACCGTAACACACAGGGGAAGAGAAATAAAAGAAGACCAACAAACGCAAAGAGAAGGGAGCTAGAGAGTGGAGCTGCAGGCAATAGTGAATGACAGATAGAACAACCTGGCATTAGTTGGTTGACAGCCTATGCTCCATTTGGGGTATAGGAGGAAGAAGAAGAAGTCTGCCATTGTTTTCTGGATGGTATGACTCCTATACTGTTGTCAAAATCAACACAAAACTGCTACTTTCCCATAAACCCCCTTTACTTCCCAAGATACCATCTAGTCTTTATTTTAAACATCTTGTCATAACATTCTAATTTTGCCCTCATGAAAATCAAATTCATCTTGTTTATTTCTCATGCAAGCAACCATTTTTTTTTAATGTAAGGTGATTTCTTTAAAGTCATCATTACTCTTTGATTTCTTTAAAGTCATCATTACTCTTTGATTTCTTTAAAGTCATCATTACTCTTTGATTTCTTTAAAGTCATCATTACTCTTTGATTTCTTTCAAGTCATCATTACTCTTGAGTTCTGGCTTTCATCACTTGACAAGACCGACATCAGGAGCATATCCTGGGTAGAGGCTCTGGAAGATATTCAACAATGGAGGAGAAATCGAGGCCGATTTTTAATCAGGTTGCAACTGGTGCTACTATCTTGTCAGCTCTTCAGTAACCATGGAGTGGGAGTGGGAGCGTCCTGAGTGCAGTGATGTGTTCCCAGCATTCCACAGAGAACACTCTGAGATCTTTTTTTTTTCTGTTTCCACCCTTAAAAGGCTAGTTGCCATGTTGCGGTTTATAGATAGGTTGAGATATCTGTGCCTATAGATTCAACACATCTGATATCAGCAAAATCCTGATCGGATATCCTTTACGAAATGCTTGTTAAGGAGGCAGTGAGTCTATTCTTTGTTCCCTAAAATAGGGGCCACGGAACTAACACATAAAATTCTGAGATCAATGGAAGCCAATTTTCACATACAAGATGGAACTAGCCCCATCTAATCAAGACATTCATTACGGAACATATTTCCGGCAGTTTCCCTGCCGAACCCAAACAATTCTTTACCCACCTCTGGACATGTAGAAAGGAACCCTGTATTTGCCTGCTAAAACTCGGTTGCGAAGACTTTGAAGTGTACTGCCATCAAAGGGGAGGGCTCCACAGACTAAAACGTAAAGGACTACGCCCAAGCTCTGTGAAGGAAGCATCATACACAAGCTAGATAAGGAAACAATCAAATCTACATTGGCGCAAATCACATCCTACATCAGTGCAAATCAAATCTCACTGGCATCAAAAACTCTTCTTCTCTGGCATTCCCCTCTTCAAAGGGCGGCTGGTATGTTGTGTTCTGGTTTAGAGCTAGGTTGCAATATCTGCATCTTTTGGCCCAATATACCCAACACCAACAGATGATTAATTCCCTTGTACGACATGCTTGTTAACTCTTTCGGTATCAAGTGGATTTTAATTCAGCAATCTTCATATGACGTCTATGAGACGCAACAACGAAATTCATTATCTGTTTACATTACCACTGGCCATGGCATCAAGAGGTATAATAAACTGAAATGGCTGGAGTATACTGAGGGAATGTCAGACGACAGAGAGGTAACAAATTTGTTTAATGATAGATAGTTAATTGGTCATAGACCACGAGGCAGACCAAGAAGACTATGGAAAGATAATATCCAGGCAGACATGCAAACATTTGGTGTCACTAACTGGAAAATGAAGGCCAACCAGAGAGATGAATGGAGGCAGGTGAAAAGAAGAATGCTACATGAAAAGTAAAGAGGTTTGTGATACATAAAAAGTAACCAAGTAACTTGTGAACGAGTTAAGGGACAGTGGCTCTATTCTGGTTTTTCTCCCAACATGGGGCCACAGACTCCCACAAGAGGAATGATAACACTTCTTGTTAAAGTCTTTTACTGCAGCGGTTCTCAACTTGCTAAGACTTGCCCACCTCTCTTATTGTCTAAGGTCAGCTGTAGACTCCAACTTGGGAACAGTCAAACTGAAGAACGTATAACTTGAAAATTTTAGAAATGAATTATATTTTTTTTTTATTCCAAAGTCTCTCTCTCTCTCTCTCTCTCTTTAAAAAAAAAAGAGGAGTAGAGAGGGAGAGAGAGAGAGAGAGAAAGAGTAAATGATATCATGCACCTCTTAAACTGATTCCACTAACTCCTGGAGGTCTGCAGATCACCAAACTGTCTTAAGTAAAAGGATCCTTTCCCACATCGTCAGACGTACTGGGTATATACCCTATTAGCCACTTTTACTTTCCAGGTCTTAAACTGGTAAGTATTAAAGGCTGGGTCGACCATGACTTGGGTCATTTTGGAAGAAGAAGAAAAGGCTGGCATCGGAAGCGTCTAGCTGCTAACCACAGCAGTTCCCCAGACTGTCTCATGGCTCATTACAAAAATATCATTTGCTAGACCAATGGTTTTCAACCTTTCCAATGCGGTGACCCTTTAATACATATCTTCAAGTTATGGCGACCCTTTAAAACAGGTTCCTCATTTTGTGGCAACCCTCAACCACACAATTATTTTCGTTGCTACTTCATAACTTCAATGAATATGTGTTTTCCCCGATAGTCTCTGGCAACCCTTGTAGAAGGGTCATTCGACCCACAAAAGGGTCGCCACCCACAGGTTGAGAACCGCTGTGCTAGACTGTTGAATGATGCAGGTCTAAGATGTAAGGATTGTATTACAGCTTCAGTTAGCATGATATGTGTTTGGCTAAGCCCCCTAAATCACCTCTGTATCCTTCTATGCTGGATCCATATCTAGGCTTCATGATCCCACAACAGCTCTTGATAATTACTTCTTGTCTAGTTTCGTGGGTTGAATGCTAGCCGTGAACACACTTCAGCCAACATCCAGTGAGGAGATGGCACAATTCTTTTTTTTTTCCTTTTAAATTAAATTTATTCATTCATTGTCACATTGTATGTCACACAGGGCTTGCAGTAGATTTATTCATTCCCTTCTGTCCTATGCAACGACTTCGATATCATCACGGATAGAATCCAGTCCAGCAGCTTTGGCTTCTCTCATCAATGTTCGCTGTAAGGTTTCTCTTGTACGTCCTCATGTCCTCAGTCCATCAATTTCCTCAATGTCAGTATCTGTTAGGCGATTCCCTGTGCATCTTTTCTCAGAATTTGCTCAATATAACACCTTCTCTCTTATAACTGTTGCCACCAGTGGCTGCCCAGATATTTCTTCTATTTCCTCGACCCTCTTTCGCATGTTAAGTTAATTTTCCTCAGGATTTTTTGTGTTATTAATTGTCATATTTACTCTGACAGATACCCGTGTCAGCTCTCATTAACGCTCTCTCTAAATTATTCAATCATTAGCAGGCTAACCATCTCATGTCTTATTATGTTGATTTAAAAATGTAAATACTGAAACTACCACATAATTGACCCGTGCCATATGACTGGTGTTAAGTTTCTGTTGATTTTCTATAGAGTAGCCAGACTTATATCCAGACCTTCTGTCATTATCAGTCAACTCTCAATACATTCATTTGTCATTCTTTATATGCCACACATTTCTTTACTTTTCAGGTATGTTCTTCTGTTACATTAACCTAATATGTCTTAATTGTTAATACAAGGTCATCGACAATGGCTGGGGGAAAGGGGGGGGGGGGTTAAATGCTATTGTACAAGAAGTATGTAACAGACGTATCTTATTATAAAAAGGGAGTCGCAGTGGATCGGAAGGAGTTAGCTCCCTGGCCGTGCCAGACTTTTTTCAGAAATGACCTCGGCTCCCAGGTCGGCCCAGCCTTGAGTGTGTACCAGCTACAGTCCCGGGAAGTAAAGGTGGCCAGCGTGATGCTGACCACATCACTCATCTTATGCCATTGGTCTCAAAAATATAGGTCTAGCCCTATATACCCAATACGCCTGAAAGGAAAAGGGTCATTTTTACTTATATTATTTCGTTGATACACACAAGTGGAATGTTAAAACGTTTCTCAGTGCACCTAGTATCTACAACTCTAAGCGCCCAAATTACGAAAAGCACACTCTCTGTGCACCTACAATCTACAACTCTCAGTGCCCAAATTACCAAAAAGCACACTCTCAGTACACCTACTATCTACAACTCTCAGTGCCTAAATTACCAAAAGCACACTCTCAGTGCATCTACTTTTTACAACTCTCAGTGCCCTATTTATCCAAAAGCACACTCTCGGTGCACCTACTACCAACAACGTAGTTTCCAGCCCACATACAACTAACTGGTAAGTCAACAAGGTCTGAAGAAAAGGATAATTACCCGCCAATAACAAATAACTTCAGGCTGCATATGCCTCCTAATTATCACCCATGGCTGCTGTGTTGGGTCAAGGCAAACATTCACAGGTTGTCTTCTTATGTCATTTGTCCTTTCTACCCCCGCCCACCCACCCACCCACCCACCCCCCTCTGCCATATGTGTGTTTTTTTGTTTGTTTCAAAATGCAATTACCTGCTTCATGATCATCAACACTGACACAACAGCAATTAATATCAGTCTGCGTGAACTAAAGGTTGCCTTTTGTTTCTTTGTGGCCCGGTTGTCTTGCATAAAACATTAAGTAGGGGGAAACCTCAGATGTACACTGGGTACTGAAAATTCGGGATCTGAACCTACCTACAATGGGAGTAGCTAATAGGTAAAAGCAGGAGTATTTCTCTGATGGTAGGCAACAGATGTGCAGTATCTGCAACCTTTTTAAACCCATCTTTTTTTTTCAGCACTACTGTAATAGACCTGTTGTGGTGTGTATCGGCACCTTTTATTAGACACCATGTGGTGAGTACCAGCACCTTTTTTTTAAAAACATTTCTAGAAGAAAAAAATCCCCGTGTAATAATAGGTCATTCCCATGCGTTCTCTGGCACTGGAGTGTGAATTGTTAAGCCTTCCTATATTTTAGATCATAACATCCCCGTGTGGGTTCCGGGGCCCCATCGTGGGGAAAACAAGAATAGACCCTCTGCCTACCCAAAAGCATGTCGTAAGAGTCGACTAATTGGGAAGCTTCCTTTGAAGTCGGAGTGCATTTGCCTGTGAGGCAAGGAACCAACAGTCTGCATTCAAATGAATCAGATCTGTAAAACTGATGCACACACAACACTCAGGTTCTGGAGCAGGACTGCAGTTCAGAAGTGGACGAACAACCAGAAATTTCACCAGTGTACAGCTGGTGAACGCGAAGAAGAAGAAGATCATAACATACAAGGTGGGGTGGCTGGTTTCTTTCCTCATCACTCTTCCTTCAGGGACAATTTCCATAAACATCCTATGTATTAACCTTTATGAGGCTGGTCAACCCTAGAACCATACTGGGTGTTGTGCAGAAAACTCTAGCGGCTGCCTTATGCTTTTATTGTGTGTGCATACTGCTGGTTTTGCCAGGACACCGCAGTCTGCTCAAATGTTGACAAGAACTGTTTGTGGTTGTCGCTGGTACAGTAAATGGAGAAAATATGCTGTGATGTGGGTGTGACTATGACTAGCAACTCAACAGCCAAGTACTCACCCATACATCCACCTTGGGAGCATCGTACTCTACCCCTTCAAACAGTTCTGGTGCGGCATAAGGTGGACTCCCACACCAGGTCTTCAGTGTAGAGTCAGGGGTGAAGAAGTTGCTAAAGCCAAAGTCTAGAAACACAAAAAATATCCAAAAGAAAAGACTGGTTAATACTATCACCTTGTCAGAATGCGGGGGGGGGGGGGGGGGGGGGGGGGGAATTGTGTGTGTGTGTGTGAGAATGGATGAGGGCTGGAGGGAGAGGGGAGAACAAACAAGCAGACAGACACAGTGCGAGTTGACACAAGGTTAGTTGCGTATCCTTTACAGAACGTTGCAGAACCAACCCCAGCAGCCCCTTGGCTGTTGTGTGGTTTTTCTAAGCAAATTTACGTCCCGTAGTTTGCCATTGCTCTCTGGACGGTCGGCTTCTTGATACCACTGTCGAAACCAACGCAAAGTGCATGGCCTGCAGCTGGGATCAAACACAAATTTTAACAGTCAGACAGGCATACAAAAGCATAATGAAAACAGTGGGAGAGAAAGGAGATATGCGGACAGAAAGATGAAATGAGAAGATAGCAAAGACCATCTGGGCAGCTAACATTTGAAGGAGAAGCAATGTGAAACAGATGAGGAAAAAAGCGGTCAGCCTGACAGACAGGCGAACAGGCAATCAGACAGGTAGACAGAAAAAAAACCAGGATAGTAAAAGTGTGATAAATGACAAAATTGCAGGGAAAAAAGGGAAGAGCCAGAGAGAGAGAAAGAGAGAGAGAGAGAGAGAGAGAGAGAGAGAGAGAGAGAGAGAGAGAGAGAGAGAGAGAGAGAGAGAGAGAGAGAGAGAGAGAGAGAGAGAGAGAGAGAGAGAGAGAGAGCATATAGGAAAGAGAGATAGGCTAGGGAGGAAAGTTAAATGTGAGGGAGAGGTAAATGTGAGGTAGACAAAGATTGTAATAAGAGTTGCACTAATGAGAGAGAGAGAGACAGAGAGAGAGAGAGAGAGAGAGAGAGAGAGAGAGAGAGAGAGAGAGAGAGAGAGAGAGAGAGAGAGAGAGAGAGAGAAGGGGAGGAGGGAGTACAGTCAGAGACATATAAGCAGACAGTGAATATGAGAAACTAAAAGAGGTAGTGAATGAGACAAGCAGGGAAAGAAAAAGAGGGAGAAATCGATATACGGGCTTTGTAGCACCAGCAAGACACACAAAAAAGGCAGATATATCTGCAACAGCAGACCTTATGTAAGCGCTGAGAAACAAACAAAGAGACGTGGATATATCTGCAACATCAGACATTCTGAGAGCACCCCGAGACGAAGAGATGTGGATATATCTGCAACATAAGACATTCTGAGAGCACCGAGAGACGAAGAGATGTGGATATATCTGCAACATAAGACATTCTGAGAGCACCGAGAGACGAAGAGATGTGGATATATCTGCAACAGCAGACTTTATGTAAGCGCTGAGAAACAAACAAAGAGACGTGGATATATCTGCAACATCAGACATTCTGAGAGCACCCCGAGACGAAGAGATGTGGATATATCTGCAATATAAGACATTCTGAGAGCACCGAGAGACGAAGAGATGTGGATATATCTGCAACAGCAGATATTCTGCGAGCGCTGAGAGACAAACAAAGAGACGTGGATATATCTGCAACCGCATACATTCTGCGAGCACTGAGAGACAAACAAAGAGACGCGTACATATCTGCAACATCAGACACTCTAAGAGCACCGAAAGACGAGATGTGGATATATCTGCAACATAAGACATTCTGAGAGCACCGAGAGATGAAGAGATGTGGATATATCTGCAACATAAGACATTCTGAGAGCACCCTGAGACGAAGAGATGTGGATATATCTGCAACATAAGACATTTCTGAGAGCACCGAGAGACGAAGAGATGTGGATATATCTGCAACAGCAGACATTCTGTAAGCGCTGAAAGACAAAGAGACGTGTACATATCTGCAACATCAGACACTCTAAGAGCACCGAGAGACGAAGAGATGTGGACATATCTGCAACATAAGACACTCTAAGAGCACCGAGAGACGAAGAGATGTGGACATATCTGCAACATCAGACACTCTAAGAGCACCGAGAGACGAAGAGATGTGGACATATCTGCAACATCAGACACTCTAAGAGCACCGAGAGACGAAGAGATATGGACATATCTGCAAAATAAGACAAAGAAACAGAGACACGTGACATTTCTCGGCGTTGAATTCAGCCGGACAAAAACGACAATAAAACTACATGATTTAGAACGAGGCTCTATTATCAAGCGCCATGCTGAGATTCTCAACCAGCTTTACCCTGACAGACAAAAGGTCACCGGCTAACACCAGTCTCCGCCATTACTCACCAGCAATTTTGATACTCAAGTTTGCGTCTAATAATAAGTTCTCCGCTTTCAGGTCCCTGTGAACTATACTGTGGCTGTGGCAATAGGCCACGGCTGACACGATCTGTCGGAATTTCTTTCTGGCTTCTCGCTCGTTCATACGCCCATGTGCAACTAAGTGATCTGGGGATTAAGAAGACAACAGATTTTGTGTCAACTGCAATTTTACTTGCTCCTTATAAGTATTACAAACATGAATGCATTCACATTAAGAATACAGCGCAGGCCGGTTAAAGCAAATCCAGGTATGGCGACATTTGGTTAAGAAGAACAATTTGTTTATCCCTGGCAATGTTTTTTTCCTTGAACTCTTTTCTGGATAAGAGGAACTTCTGATAAGAAGAAAAATTTCTTGGGTCTCCGGTGAGTTTTCGCACTGCATTTAGATCCACTCTCCGCCTTCTGCTAACACAGCGATTTTTGAACCTGTGGATCGAACGACCCTTTCACGGGGATCGCCAAAGACCATCAGAAAACACATATTCACTGAAGTTATGAAGTAGCAACGAAAATAATTGTATGCTTGGGGGTCGCCACAACATGATGCGAACTGTATTAACGGGTCGCCGCACTATGAAGGTCGAGAACCACCGTGCAAACATGTCCTGCAAGGCTGTTCTTTCTATGGGAGGCGCAGGTGGATAACATGGTTCTACTATCACTGGGTGGAAGTTTGTTGACAAAGAAATAACTAAAAGCTGTACATAATACATTAATCACTAATGCCTTCCCCAAACGACTCCCTGTGTAGTAGTAGTAGTAGTAGTAGTAGTAGTAGTAGTAGTAGTAGTAGTAGTAGTAGTAGTAGTAGTAGTAGTAGCAGCAGCAGCAGCAGCAGCAGCAGTAGCAGCAGAAGCAGCAGCAGAGCAGCTGCTGCAGCAGAAGCATGAGTAGTGATAGTGGTAGTAGAAGCAGTACTGGTGGTGGTGGTTGTAGCAGCAATGACGGTGGTAGCGGTAGTGGTAATAGTAGCAGCAGCAGTAGTAGCAATGACGGTGGTAGCGATGGTAGTAATAGTAACAGCAGCAGCAATAGTAGTTAATGTTCTTCAACTTTAGTAGCAGCAACAGTAGCTCTAGGAGCAGCAGCAGCAGCAGCAGCAGCGATACAAGACATTCTGCTCTCGAACAATCTTTCATCTGTCAACAAGTGTCCTTCACTATCCTATGCCAACGCGGGCTTGCCCAAGCAACACAAAACGACCTTGAGATCTCCGTAAAACAAACGCTGGAGAACTCCCAACCCCTGACCCGGCACGTGACAATGCCAGGCTGCACGTCGAGGCCATTCTTCTGCTGGTCCATCTGTCACTGAGAGAACCGTCAGCGCGCTGGTTACAACACATTCATAGGAAGCAAGGCCACCTTTTTTCAAATCTAACTTTATATTTTCTATTACGTCTTTCATTCACATGACAATACGGTGATCATCCGTCCTGTGGTTCTTTTCTGTTAAGTCACCACATCACGCGAGATTTAGGGAAATCCCATAGTATGGAGAGAGAGAGAGAGAGAGAGAGAGAGAGAGAGAGAGAGAGAGAGAGAGAGAGAGAGAGAGAGAGAGAGAGAGAGTTGGGTTAAAGCTAGTGTTGAATGAAAAAAATAGCGACTACTACTACTAACCCTAACCCACCCACCCACCCCCCCCCCACCCCCCATAGTATAGGATTTCCCTAAATCTCGCGTGATGTGGTGACTTTAATAAAAACGTCGTCCTGCTTTTTAGGTGTGTCCCGGTGGTCCCATGGCTACTCAACAACAACAACAACAACAACAACAAAACAGCCATGTGTCCCGTTATGTAAATATCTTTGAATAAGCTCTAGAACAAAACAAACACAGTTTTATCTGTAGATCTAATTGGATTTCATCGGCTTAGATACCTTTATTACATGAAAATATTGATGAGACTTTTCGCTGTAGCATGTGTTTTCGCGATGGTCGTACATCTTACTTAACCTGGTCTGTGACACGCGCTAGGAGGACATGCGATGGTCGGACTTGTGAACTTTGCTGTTACCATGTAGGACACTCGAAAGACGGGTGTAAACAAACTAAAAAGAAGAAGAAGAAGAAGAAGAAGAAGAAGAAGAAGAAGAAGAAGAAGAAGAAGAAGAAGTGGGGGATAAGAAAAGGAGTACTAGGAGTAGAGGAATGAGTGAAAGTGACAGGAGGGGGGGGGCACCGTGAAGGTAATTACACTGGTTTAGGTCATAACTTAATTTATGAGAGAGAGAGAGAGAGAGAGAGAGAGAGAGAGAGAGAGAGAGAAAGAGAGAGAGAGAGGCAAACAACAAACGCAACGAGAGAACCAGAGAACGCCGACGACAAACAAGTTTAGGCCAGGGCGTATGCTGTCAACACAACAAGCAGTAGCACTTGACTAGACCTTGACCCCAATCATGCAGACGACTTCTCAACTGTCTCCGTCCAGCTGCTTCGACTCGGGCTGTCAAGGCTTGAAGAAATAGTTAATACAAAAATTGTTGGGGGGGGGGGGGGGGAGAGCAGTGTTGCCACTTTGGATGTTTTACATCCAGATTAAGATGTTTTTCCTTGCATTTAGGCGTTTTTGACGTTTAGATGGTAGATGTTTTTCTAGAGTTTTTCATTTGGAGTGAATTTATCAAATCTAACCTAAGAACAGGATAAAATTTGACCTCTTAAATGTTATCTTGACAATAAAATTCGGCCTGATAAGAGTAGGAAAAGGCTGTTCCACTTATCAGCTCCCTGATTGGGTATTAAAAGAAATTGGAACAGCTAAAGCCTACCAGAGTCATTTTGGATCTGAAGCTTCAACTTCATCATCCAAATTATCCTGTGGATCTTGTGGGGTAGACTTCAGTAAAGATGAGGACATGATTCTATAGGGTAAGTCATATCAACTGCTATGTAACTTGCGACTCTTTCCATGTGGATGTTTTTTCTAGATGTTTACCACGCAAATTTAGATTTTTTAAAAGATATTTTTGACTCCGTTTTTGGATGTTTTTTGTCAAAGAAATGTGGCAACACTGGTTGCGGGTCAAAGAAATGGAAGCTAACACGCGAGACATGGTGCTCTGCTGCAGAAGGGGTTAAGATATTTTTTGTTCTTCTCTTCTTCTTCTTCTTCTTCGCGTTACCGGGTTACCGACCAGCTGCTTTGTGGTTTTACTCTTCTTCTTCTTCTTCGCGTTACCGGGTTACCGACCAGCTGCTTTGTGGTTTTACTCTTCTTCTTCTTCTTCGCGTTACCGGGTTACCGACCAGCTGCTTTGTGGTTTTACTCTTTTTCTTCTTCGCGTTACCAGGTTACCGACCAGCTGCTTTGTGGTTTTACTCTTTTTCTTCTTCGCGTTACCAGGTTACCGACCAGCTGCTTTGTGGTTTTACTCTTCTTCTTCTTCGCGTTACAGGTTACCGACCAGCTGCTTTGTGGTTTTACTCTTCTTCTTCTTCTTCGCGTTACCAGGTTACCGACCAGCTGCTTTGTGGTTTTACTCTTTTTCTTCTTCGCGTTACCAGGTTACCGACCAGCTGCTTTGTGGTTTTACTCTTCTTCTTCTTCGCGTTACCAGGTTACCGACCAGCTGCTTTGTGGTTTTACTCTTCTTCTTCTTCGCGTTACCAGGTTACCGACCAGCTGCTTTGTGGTTTTACTCTTCTTCTTCTTCTTCGCGTTACCAGGTTACCGACCAGCTGCTTTGTGGCTTTCTGCTGGGCTGTAACATCTGCGCCTTGCGCTCTAACAGATGCGATTACACATACACACACAAATCCCCGATTAGTCGTCTTTAACGACATGCTTATTAAGTACCAGCTAATCCATTTTTCTTAAATAGGGACTGGTCCCACACGGCTGGGGGAGGGGGGGGGGATTAAAAGGTTTCTTATAACGTTTTTCGCACCCAAAAATCGTGATTGGTCCTTCATCCATGCTTCCTGACCTTTCACACGCGCTAGTCCGTTACAGGGGTGTCGCGTAGTATTGTCTTCGATGCTCACATCGGCGCTGTCGCGTGTTCTATAACACGATGTGACCGCTTTTAACGACCCCAGAACATCTAGAACTGGCCCTAACCCCAAACCTCCTACCCTATAGGCTTAGCCTACATCCCACGAGACGGTGCGCAGCACTTCTTGACAACACTGACAGCTGAAGCAAATTCATGTCGTATTCGAAGTCCGAGAAAGCTCTAATTTACGCAATGTCGCCGGACGCTCACAGCAACGAGTAAAACACAGCGTGTAGCTGGGACGCGCAATATGGAAAGCTTTGCGAAGACAATACAACCTGACGCCCCCCCCCCCCCTCTTCCCGTTATATAGACTAGCGAGTGTAAGAGGTCATGAAGCAAGAATGAAAGGCCAATCATGATTTGTTTGGGACGAAATACGCAAATGTTTCCTTTAAAAGTACCAATTATCACAGGGTTTACGTAACAGATGAGTAAGACTGAACTTCCACTTCAGATCACAGATCCATGGCTGTCGAGGGGGAGTAAGTCTCGCACTAGTAAACATACTGTCAGTAGTTAGTTGCGTATCTTATACAGGACGTTGTAGAATTAACCCCTGCAATGTTATTTATTAATTAATTTTTTTAACGCAAATTTTACATCGAATAATTCGCCACTGCTTACTAAACGGTCGGCTCTTGATATCACTGTTGAAACCAGCCAAGACGGTCTGCTGCCAAATCGCCCGCAACTGGAATCGAACCCAGCACTACGAAGCGAGCGCGTTGGCAACGCCTAAGCCACAGACGCCGACTCTGCCAGTAGACAGCTGATAAGTTTTTTTTATCAACAAGATCTACATACTATCTTAAAAGGGAGTGAGAGGCGTAGGCTGCAAGACCAGCGAAGAAAATGGGGAGGCGGGAGGGATAGAGACGTCCCTCCGTCGCATTGAGAGAGAGAGAGAGAGAGAGAGAGAGAGAGAGAGGAGCAGAGAGAAACACATACAAACATACCTACAAACAAAGAGGAAAGGAGAGCGCGCGCACATTCACAAACATGACAAACACAGAAAGAGGAAGAAAGCAAGCAAAGTGCATCATAAACAGACTGGTGGAGACACAGGCAGAAACGGACAGAGAATGGAAGATATAGCCCCAGAACCACATGTACAAACATC